ATACTGACATCAAATATAGTGAAAGCAGGGGTTATACTGTGGGGGAGGGACATACAAAGCAACAAAGAGATAATCTTATAAATGCGTTAGAAACGCATGTGGCATTTTCATTATGGTTTTTTTTTTTAGCAAGAAAACAGCATTGTATAGGCCCAAAACAAAACTAAAATATATGCCAAACATATGTCAATACATTTTCATTGTAAAACAGATAATATAGGATAGATATAGAAAAAAGAGTATGATTCTATAATTCATACACTCCATCCATTTTCTGGGAGCGAATTCCATAACAGTTTGGTGTGGTCATATATATTTTTTTCCACAGCATACTTTCCACAAAAGTAATAATATGTATTACATGAATAGCATTTTCACTTTATTTTTATCTATTTCCATTTTCACTTTACTTTGTATTACATTACTCTTTTTGATACCAAAGTGGAATAGTAGTTTATAGAATAAATGCACCACAATTAGCTGAATGCTTTCTCTACTGATAGCCACTTAGATTATTTATAATTAATTGGTATTATGAGAGATATCGTATTTAGTGAGTTCCCTGAACACACAGATTGAGATTATCTTTTATCCAAAATGATGAAGAAGAATATAGTTCCCAATTTTTGGTCTTTTCAGATTTGTGGAATATTTACAGAGACTCAACTGACTGAGCACTCATAATCAAAGTCCAAAACACTCTGAACTTTATGCTTGAGTTTCTTGAAACTTTTAAGTTAGATTGGGAGCGTTTCGTATTTTCATATTAGAGGTGTTCAATATTTAAGCATTTCTGGTTCCAAGCATTTTAGGTAAGAAATGAATGAGTTATATGATTTCATGTCTTCTGAATCATATATATTGGTATAACAGATTGAGTGACTCTTGAAGGTACTGAAAATGACCAAGTAAAATGATAATTTATTTTTGTGTCATGTAATTTATAATGTCAGTAATATTATTAGTAGTATTTCCTATATGTGAGTTCATCAGGAGTTGATTCACAATCTCTATTCATCTCTTGCTTTCTTCAGTGAAAAGCCATATACATAGAAGACTCTGGTTTAAACCCTGGAGTTACAGGCATCCAAGAAATAGAGGCACCTAGAAATTGGGTTGCAAACTGCAATTTACTGGGTACAATGGAATTGGTATGCCTCAATGCTCTCTCACCTCCTTGACGGACTATTTTGTATACTATATGATGAAGACACGCAGCTAGAAAGGACTAAGAAAAGGGCCCTTCTTTCAGTGAACTTACAGTATGACTCAAACTCTACATACCTGAAGAGAGTAAAAATCTGTATATATTCTGGAGAAAAGAAGATAAATATAAGCATTGTTAGGCAGGATGCAGGGCTAAGAGAAAGGAGTAGAGGAATGGAGTGAGATCCACATTAAGGAAATGAACAGAAAGTGGTCCCCATTCGTGACAGAATAGTGATATATGAAATACAATTGACCCTAACTGGCCCTGGACACTTGGTTGTGGGTCAGCAGAGATACAGGACAGCAGGGCCTCCTGCAGGTCCTGACAGAGAAAGGCCTTCTTTCTTGAGCAACTGTGGGGAGATAGAAATAAGGGCTGTTTGCAAAGACTGTGGCTATTTTCCTAGGGCTAGAGGTGTAGTAGGCCAGCCTTGCTTTGGGAGAGGAGCAGTGATGAGGCCTGTGATGGGAGCCCTCACCTCTGTTCCCTTAAAGGCAGAAATGCCTTGCTTTGCTTCATGGCTGTATGAAGCAAGCAAAGCAAAACATGGCAGAGCCTCCTAGAGGCCCCTTGTCCACACTGCTTGTTGCTATGTCTTGATGTCACATGTTTCCTCCCCATCTGTCTGCAGCCCAGACCCCTTTTTCCCCCTCCTACAGGAAGGAGGAGGGACACGGAGACTGGCGAGGGGAGGGGGGAGAAGGGGAGAGGCACTGCGCAGTCTGGGGTGCAAAGCACCAAGGGGAGGCTTTGGTATCCATCCGCTGCTCCTTCCAGCGCAGCGATTCCCGACCTGCGGATACCGCTTCCCCAGCCGCCACAGCCCCTAGCCCTTAGCGAGCACAGCACCGGGAAGCCTAGCAGACAGGGGCAGGGAAGTGGTGGAAGTCGCCACGTCAGGGTGTGCAGGGTGCAGGGAGGCAGGGCGAGTGGCGGGAGCCCGCCCCTGAGAGTGGGGCTGGTGCAGGCCCCGCCCACCCCGGGTCGGAACTACGGTGGGCCTGGGAGGGGGCGTCCAGCACTGACGCGGCCGTATTCCTCCGCCCCCCTTCCCGACAAGCTTTCGGGACAAGCGTTCTTGCTGTGTCCCTCTGGGCCCCTGAGGCCAGCCGTGGTGCTAGTGCGTGGGGCGGGCCTCTTTCCGATTTGGCTCGTCGAAAAAGCAGTGGGAGTCCCAGAGAGCAGCTGCCTGTGGAGAGCTCAGGGGGGAGGAGGATCCCGTTTTCCTAGGCCCTGAGCAGTCCACTCTGGGTGGATTCCCTCAGACATCTGGCAGCTCGACATCACCAAGGAGGCTAGCCATCCAAGCGGATCCTCCAGAGAGGTGCGCAGTGTTCGGGACCCCGGAAACCAGAAGACGGTGCCCCCCCCCGGCGGTCTGGCCGGCCCAATGTGGAGGGAGAGGCCAGAACGGCTCCAGGATCATCTGGAGCCAGTTGAGCTGACCACTTCCCAGCCAGCTTTCAGGGCGCCTGTGTCCCGCCCTGGAAGATTGTTGTGCCCAGAGAGGGCTGAAGGGGGAGAGGTTCAAGGGAGAAATGGCGGCGAGGGGGCGGAGGCTTGAGAGGGGGCCAGGGTAGGCCTCTAAGCTTGTGTCCAGCCGAACTGGTGGGAGGAGACTCCTCTTCCCCACTTTGCTTCCAAACCGGAGTCAGTTGGACCCTGGTGTTCCGGAAGTAATATCCCTTCCACAGACTCCTGCTTAATTAACATCAAGAGTCAGTCTCATCTCCACAGTAAATCTGATGAATTCTGGGGAAGGGGACAAAATTAAATGTTCATCTACTTTTAGTACAGTGTTGTTTTATTGCCTTGTAGGTTTAGATTATCATGCCCAATTTAGTGTAAGCTAATGCTTAGGATAAAGAGTTGGTCAAATTTCATAACAACAGACCATTAAATTAATAGAATGATAGTAACTTATGTTTGGTAGTCAATCTGTTTTCTTACCACACCAATTGTAAGTAATATTTTGATATGTAGGAGTGGGAGATAAGTGTAAAGGGAAGTCTTTCTGAAGATCAGTTTCGAACATTTGAAGTCAAATGCTTATTCTGTGTCTGTTTCTGGAACCTGAAACATCATCTCCAGCCATTTCTCATAGACTCTATCAGTTTTGTGCATAAGCAGTCCCACAGAAGATGGCATGGCATTTATAAAAATGAACATCTGGAGAGCCATTAAAGATGCTAGACTTCGTTTAGTTAGTCATGATGCTCAAAAAAGAGGCTATGAATTTAAATTCTAGAAATCCATTAACCTGTATTTTTTTATTTTGAACATATTTTCCTAATATTTTGATGAAGAACATCTTCCTTTTCTATAGGTTGTCACCTGCCCAACCAGAGGACTCTTCTTTGATGGGAAGGATAGCTTTTCCTGAGAACTCTTTGTTGGCAGATTGGCACAGGTGGTAAATTAAGGTAGGATCTAGGTATGCATTGGAAAGGGGGCTTGTGAAGATTATATTGATATAATAGTGGCAAATACAGTTACCTATTTCCAACTGCCTATTGTACCATCTTGTTAGGGAAAGAGATGTAGCTCTTGCTAGGAAGATGATTGACTTCTGAGTTGGGAAGAGGTATAACCAGATAAATTTAGGTTTGAGAAAGAAGGCTAAGGAATCATTTGTGGCAAAAAGATGGGAGACATTGAACATTGCCTTGAATACATGAAGTTTCTGTTATAAACCTTGCCAATGGTACTGGGTCATCTCAATATTTCTTTAATTATTTATTTAGTGTTGAATTACAGGGCCTGACCACTATCCTTGAGCTTTTGCTCAAGGCTACCATTCTACCTCTTGAGCCAGAGCTCTACTTCCAGCTTTTCTGTAGTTAACTGGAGTCTCATGGACTTTCCTGTTGGGGCTGGCTTTGACCTGTGATCTTCAGATATCAGCCTCCTGAGAAACTAGGATTACAGGTGTAAGCCATCAGCTTCTGACTATATCTTTATTTGCTTCTGCCTTTTTTCCCATCAGTAGGACTATTCCTTTCTAAATTTCTGTAGAGACCTTTAGCAGAAGCTCACTTGGAGTTTAAGCATGAGAGTCTAATTATTGTTTGGATCCAGTGTGGATATGAGTGAGCATGAGCATAAGTCCTCTGGTTGATTAGAGGTGGAGGTAACTATTGGCTAGTTTGTGAAACCAAATATGTTGAAGCCATTAATTGTTTTCCAACATTCCGGATACCTTCGTTCTCATGTTTGCATACAGGTAATGTGGACAGGGTGAGGATTCTATCTATAGGTAATTGGTAGATACTGGAGCAAGAAATGTGATGTGAAGCCATAATGAAGAACATGGTGGGTCAGAAGTGACATGTAACTAAAATTGTAAATTTGGAAAGGCAGTTATTGGGAGACTAGATTGCAGGTCAGTCTACCAAATATGCAGAAGTTCTAATCTTAAATACATTTTTGTCCATAGATCTGCTTGGGTGTCAGCTATATTTCTTACCAACACTGGAACTGAAGAGGGAGAAGAAAATTTTTATTGAATTTTGGTGCAGGTTGGTATGAAGCCTATCTGGATATACCTACTAGGGTCCAAATGGACTGGGAACTCCTTACCCTCTTTTTTTGCTGGTTCTGGGGCTTGAACTCAGGGCCTGCCTGGACACTATCTCTGAGCCTCTTTGTGCTCAAGACTACATGCTACCATTTGAGCCACAGTGCCACTTCTAGCTTTTTTTCTGAGTAATTTATTGGAGATAAGACTCATAGAATTTCCTTTCTGGGCTGGCTTTGAACTGCAATCCTCAGATCTCAGCTTCCTGAGTAGCTAGGATTACAGGTGTAACCCACCAATGCCCTCCTTGCTCCTGAGCCCGATGTGTTTGTGATGAGAAAAGTACATTGATGGTATGTTGTTGAGCATTATTGTAAGTGTGAGAAACAAAATGAGGTAGCAGAGTTTTCTACTTATCCAGTTCTACCACACAATCTATCTGTTCTTATGACCTTTGTGGCTGACTGCATTAAGAAACAAAGTTGGAAGATACTCAAAGGCCATTTCTATCTTTTACTTCAGGTCTGTCTCCAGTGGTGGCCTTGGATTGACAGGAGATCATCACTCTACAGGTCTGCTGTCAGATAACATCATCCTCCCTCAACCTGACTATGCCCTCTGATCTGTCCATAACATTGATACAGTCAGTGTGTTTAGAAAAGGGACTGCGTAACTGCTAAACTGTCAACTGACACCTAATTCTTGCTAACAAATTCGTCTCTGATCCAGTAAAAGTATAAAGACACTGACCTAGGATACACTGAGAAGCTCAGCACTGAACAACTATATAGAACTGGGCTTCAACCATGACTGGGACAAAGAATAAGAACAGAGTACATGCCAAAATTGTGAAAAGGGCAAGTGTACAAGGTAAAGCTGGAGAAGAGAAGGAAGCTACTGGTGTAGTCAAACCAGGAGCCAAGAATGGGGCCAAAGTCAAAGTCAAGGCAAAACCTAAAGCAGATGCAGTGAGAGAGATGAAAACAGTGTCTAAGAATAAAGTTGTTACTGATATGAAGGAAAGAGCCTGGTCAGAGCCTAAGGCTACAGTGAAAACCATTGCAGATTTCAGGTGCAAGAATGAGAGCGAGGCTACTAGTTCCATAAGTAAAGATAAGGCTAGTACTGATACATGGTTCTGGGCTGGGGAAGAGGCTAGTATTAATTCCTGGTTCTGGAAGGGAGAAGAGGCGGGGAATCGTTCCAGTTCTAAGGATGAAAATAAAGCTAATACTGGTATCCAGAGTCGTGTTGAGGAGTTAGAGCCTGTGGCCAGGCCCAGCTGCAGGTCTAGGTCAGGCGCTGAGGATGAAGAGGAAGAAGAGAATGTTATTGGGAATTGGTTTTGGGAAGGAGATGATTCCAGTTATGATCCTAATCCTCAACCTGTGTTCAGGATAGTAAAGCCTCAGCCAGTGGATGAAATTAATGAAAAAAATAGGCCCAAGGACTGGTCTGAGGTAACAATCTGGCCCAAAGCCCCTGCTGTAACTCCTGCAGTTTTAGGATTTAGATCCCAGGTGCCATCTGAGACAAGGCTCTCTTCATATATTGTTCTGTCCTCAGCTGAGGAAAATAATCGTTCTTTGCCTGGTACAACAGCCTGTTCTTCTAAGGGTACTCGTTCCACTTCACAGCCTATCCCTGAGTATCCATTTGGTTCTGACCCTTGCATCCAGACCTTAGATGAAATTAGACACCAAATTAAGACCAGGGAAGTGAATGGAACTAAGCCATTTGCTTGCCGTTGCAAAATGGAATGCTACCTGGGTTCTGGGGAATTTGAAAAACTTGTTTATATACTTAAGACAACTACTGATCCTCTCATTCATAAGATAGCACAGATTGCAATGGGTATCTATAAGGTTCATTCATTTGCCCAAGAATTCATCAATGAAGTGGGTGTAGTGACACTGATTGAAAGCTTGCTCAGTTTTCCATCCTCTGAAGTGAGAAAAAAGGCTGTAATTACTCGAAAGTCTCCTTTTGGAGATGAAAGACAACATAGGGTTGAATTACATGTTAAGCATGTGTGCCAGGAAACCATATCTTTCCCTTTGAACTCACCTGGACAGCAATCTGGATTAAAGATACTAGGACAACTGACTACTGATTATCTCCATCACTACATTGTTGTCAGTTACTATTCAGAACTTTTTCATTTATTGTCTCGGGGAAATCATAAAACTAGAAATCTTGTTTTAAAAGTACTCTTGAATATGTCTGAAAATTCAGCTGCAGCCAGAGACATGATCAATATGAAGGCTTTGGCAGCATTCAAACTTATTTTTAACCCAGAAGAGGCAAAATCCAATCTTGTTAGTGCCGTGGCCATATTTATTAACATAAAGGAACATATTCGAAAGGGCTCAATTGTAGTTGTTGATCACTTGAGTTACAATATGCTTACAGCTATTTTCTGTGAAGTTAAAGGGATTATTGAAGCAATGTAAAATGAGCTAGAAATGAAAGAAAACTGGAGATGCCAAACATTAAACTTTACATCTTTTAACACAGTATTATCTGTTACAGGATCTACCTTGAAGCTAGAAATGAATATTAAGTCTTGATATGAAACTGTTTGTAGATTTTTATCTTGTCTAGAGTAGCAGATTTTTGATATTGTACTTAAGAAATAGCAGACCAGCTCATTATAAGTAGGCTAGCTTGATCGTTAGTGTCTGCTTAGATCAATTTATAGCTTTAAATGACAAAAAGAAGATACTGATTTGAATTCTAGTTATAGAAATAAGACATATACATAAAGATAACCAATAATACCTACAGTGTGTGTGCGTGTGTGTGTGCATGTGTGTACATACGTTTGTTGCTAGTGTGTCCTCACATTACATAAAGAAGACAGGGTTTATTATAGGCTGTTTGTTGTAAGAGAGATTTCTATTTTCCTCCTATTACATCTGCAGCAGATAGTCATTCTCTAACATAGAATTATTCCTTAATCTCAGATAAAATACAGAGTTTACTTTTTATTCTGAAACGACATTTCTAACTCTTAAATTTTAGGCATATTTCATTTATGTCAATCCTCTCCCAATCTGTCAGACTGCTGTCACCATATTTACAATTTTTTTTCCTTTCACGGTTGCTTGTGTGTTATATTTTTCAATTCTTATTAGCATACATTAGCTATACAAAGGATTATTGCACTCATATTTTAAATTGTTACATTTCCACAGGTACTTAGTTAAAAGGTATCTTTTAACAAGAATTAGAGGAATTGAATACTTTTTCCTAGATTTCCACGGCTGACAAGTGGCATAGCTGGTGTGTGTGTGTGCCTGTGAGTGTGTGAGAGTGAAAGAGAGAGAGAGAGGAGAGAGAGAGGAGAGGGAGAAGAGAGAGAGAGTGTGTGTTATACAGAGGCTTGAACTCTGGGCCTGGGTGCTGTTACTAAACTTTTTAGCTTTTAGCTAGTGCTCTATCGCTTGAGCCACAGCTCCACTTACAGTTTTTTTCACTGGTTATTTGGATAAAAGAGTCTCATGGACTCTCCTGCCTGGTGGGCTGTCTTTGAACCAGGATTCTCATATTTTAGTCTCCTGAGTAGGAGTACAGATGTGAACCATTATTGCCCAGCTGTCATAGCTGTTTTACCTGACACCAGAATCACTCTAACACACCACCCTGATGTCCTTCATATTTTTGGTTGATTGCATTCAAAGCTCAGAGACTGTTTGGTTATAATGGTTTAATTTTGCAATGGACAATGTCCTTGGCAGGCATTATAGTTCTTACCCTCTTTCCAATCCATTTGTCCATTAGGCATTTACCTGTATCTGTCTAGAGGTATGAGAAAATTCAGAGATGAATGTGTATATTTTACCTGGCATCATCTGATAGATGGTGGGTATCCAAAATCAGAAAGTAAAACTTGATATGCACCCTTCCTATCTTCTTCTGTCCATATGGAATTTGCCCTCAAAGAACTAGAATCCTGTACATTTTTTCCATGCTCTGTATTGAAAGAATAATAGTTGCTTTCTTTTTCCTTACAAAATCACACCTCAGTTTTTTAAACCATTGTCCTGTATGTTATCTGAAAGGCCAAAGGGCTCAGAAAAACCCAGTTTATGCATTTCTACAAGCCAAAATTGAGATTAAACTGGAGAAATTGAGAATAAACTGAATACATTTAAAAAAGAACTGCAGCTTCAGCAAAGAACAAGAAAGCCAGGAGAAAGGCTATTATCTTAACCTATGTAAGGTAGTGATTCCTGGAAGTTATGGCTCAGAAAGCATCTCAGAACTTTTGGGCTGTTTGAGTTCTCTGAGACTCATAGTAGAAATTACAAATCTTGTGAGATAGGGAGAAATTCTTTATATGTTGAGATGTTGCAGTTATGGAGCTAAAATGAGATTATACTGTAAATACTCATAATTTTTCCTTCACTGACTATATTATGAACATATTTCTATGTCAACAAATATGTTTCTATAAAATATTTTAATTACTTCATGATTTTACTGTGTAAAATTTTACAGTTGGTGTAAGGTGTTACAGTTTTTCATTGGATGCTCTTTTCATGTGATATATGTGCAATTTTATTTGCAGAATTAAGGAGTGTAGAATTCACCATCTTACCTTTTCCCTTTAAAAGTTATCTTTACAATTTAGTGCTATACAGATCTACTACATGCTTTTTACTTAATAGCTTTATTGAGATTTTACTAACACATGAAATTGTATATTTTAAGCACACCAAGTTTTGACATAAATATATGAAACCATAACTACAAGCTATTGAACATAGCCATCACCCCCAAAGCTTCTACATGCCCCTGTAATTCCTCCTTCCTACTTTTTTTGTCCCCCTAACCCAAGGCAGCTGCTTATCTGCTTTTTTAACAAATCATTTTCCAGTTTCTGTATATATATATATATATATATATATATATAAATGAAATCATACCTCATGTGCTCTTGGAAGGGGAATCTGGCTTATTTCACTGAGAATAATTATTTGAGTTTCATTTATGTCATGTATGAGTTCACTATATGGCTTTACCACAATTTATTTATTTATTCAACTGTTAATGAGTATCAAGTTCAAAGTTTAGTTTTTACAAGTAAGGTTGCTGTGAGAATTCATGTACAAAGGTTTCAATGGGTGTATAATTCTATTCCTTCTGGATAAATACTAATATATTAAACATTTTCCAAAGTAGTGGTACTGTTTTACATTCTAACAGAAGTATATAAGAGTAATGATTCCTCTACATCCTTGCTAGTATTTGGTGTGGCCAATCTTTAAAATTTTATCCATATTTCATAATACTGGCTTGTGTATCTAGTAATGATATTGACTATCTTTTCATATGTATATCTGTCATCCATATATCTTTTGTGAATTATGTCTAAATCTTTGTCCATTTAAAAATTTTTAGACTTTGATTTTTGTAATTGCTTTTAAGAGATTTTGTATGTAATGTGATGCATATAAAATGATACAAATGTGTTGTCAAATATATATTTTGCAGATATTTTCTCACAGTCTGTGATGTATCTATTCTTTTAATAATGTCTTTTGAACAAAAGTTTTTGATTAGTAGCAATTATTTTACTAGTTGAATCTTGGTGTTATATATAAGAACATTATCTAATCAAGGACACAGAGATATTATCCTTATTTCTTCTAAAAGTTTTATAGTTCCAGGGTTTGCAATTAGGACTGTCATCTGCTTTGAGTTCATCTTATACATGATGCAAGTTATATATCAAAGTTCAGGTTTTGTCATAGCCATATCTAGTTGTTTAAGCACCATTTGCTAACAGGACTAGCCTTTGAGCTGCCAGTGCATTTTTGTCAAAAAATGAGTTGCTCCTATATATAAAGTTCTATTTCCGTGTTCTATACTGTTGCATTGATCTGTTTATGTATCTTGATCCCAATACCATTTTGTCTTGAAATTAGGCAGCATGATTCTTGGAACTTCATTGTTTTTGAGTTATTTTGGTGTTTTGTATTTCTATAGGAGCTCTAGAAATTTGTTAATTTCTATAAATCCTCCAGCTAATATTTTGATCAGTATAACTTTGAATCAATAGAAAAATTTGGCAACAGCAGACATCTAACAGTATTGAATAAATAAAATATCTGACTTTCTTTAGGTATCTTTTATTTTCTCTCAGGAACATTTTTTATTCATGCAATACTGGTTTACATCAGCTGCATATATTCTTTTTATGGTCATATCACATATAATTCATTCCCTTGATGATGAACATTTACAAGATATTTTCCCTATGAGAATTGAGACCACAGAGAATATCTTTGTTCACGTCTTCACATCTCTTTGAAGATTTACTAAGATAAATTTTTTGAAATGGAACTGCTTTGTTTAAAAGACCATGAATAGCAATTCTCTGTAGCTAAACTCTTCCAGAAACATATCTGCATTTGAACATGTTGTGTTGTTCATTACAGTGGGAAAGAAAACAGATCTTGAGAGTCTTCAGTAAGAAATGACATTGTAGGATTGGGACACTTAGATGATTTGAGAAAGAATTTAAGGAAGTGAGGCTTTGCTATAGATTGAAACTGTCAGAAAGATAACTGCTTTGATACCTTAAGTAAATCTTGTTCTAAGGCGGGGGATACTTAACCAAGGCCAAATTTGTGATGGGTAAAAAAAGCAGAAGTCACTTCTTAAGCCAAAATGGGATATTTTCCATTTCTGTGACTGAGACAGTGTTTTACTGTGTGTATGTGATTACAGTCAACTTAGTTTTTATTTGATACATCACAGTCACAGGATGATCTTGTGTTAAGTTAATGTTCTATTAAATTGATAAGAACACAAAGGCCTACCTGAGTGCCAAGGCAGATCTTTGATGTCAGGGGCTGCATTTATTCTTCTCATGGATATTTATAAATTCCCATTCAACCCCCAGAAAACAAAATGAATATGTATCTCTGTATAATCTTAACAAATATTTGTCATTGATATTTTAATCTTTCCTTTCATATGCATAAAACTATCTTCTTTACTTAAGAATTGAGGTTTTTAATAACATTTATGTTGCGTCTCTAGATTGCAGTTTGGTATATTCCATCCTTTCTTACAAAATTCTTTTTCCATGCATGCCAGTACTTGGGCTTGAACTCACAATTTTTGCACTCAAAGCTTTATTTTTATTTTTTCAAAATAATTTTATCTTTTAGTAAAAAAAAAGGCTATCTCTTACAACACATTGCAAAGGACCCATACCTTTACAAAGATTAAATCTCCTCTAACACTGGATTTAAGTCTGTATGACAATTATCTGGCTGGGGGGGGGAAGGGGAGAGGAGCAGCTAGAAGTGCTATATGTGTGTCTGTATGCATGTTTTATTTACATATTTTGTTGATAATAGGTTTCATAGTGACACTTCCATACATGTTTATAATGTACTTTGATCATATTTACCCAGTGCATTATCCTTTCTTATCCTCTCTTTCCTCCTTTCCCTTTCTTTTTTTCCTTAGTCATGCTTTTGCATCCATATCCATGTCCTTTTATCCCTATAGTCCACATATGAGAAAAGGCATGCAATACTTGTCTTTCTGCATCTGACTATTTAATTTAACATGTTCTCCAGTTCCATCAACTTGCTTGCAAGTGATATAATTTGAATATCTGAATAAAACCCCATTGTGTATATGTACCACATTTTCTTCATCCATTGATGGGCTCTTAGGGTAACTGTAAGACCCCACCACCACTGATTATTCTACAATATAAAAAGATGAGAACTTTACTACTAAGGGTTCATCTATTATATGAACAAAGCAATGAGGTATGAAGCAAGATATTCAAAAAGCAATTCCCTTGTTTTAAAGATTAAAGTTGAGAACTAAATGTTAGTTCCTTGAACAGCAGCTACCTTTGTCTCAAGTGATTGTATTCATGCAAAAGTATCTTCAATGGATTGCAGTTTTGCATATTTGAAACTATGATAGAAACAACAGGTTGAATTCAAGCAAGTCATTTCTTCAATTTTTATTCACTCCCACCACAAATCAGGCAAACTCATAATTCAAATGAAGCAATTCAAACTGCACATGAGCTTTTCTCAAATGTTCTGTACATATAAGCATATTTTGCGTTTACTATTTTATTAAATATTGAGATCTTAATAGATGAAAGAATGTAAATGATTTTTATCATTTCATATATCATACAATATTTTGTTCAATAAAAAATAATTCAAAATTCCTTTAATTACCTGGTGATTTGAAAATGACAGTCATATAAGCATTTATAAATACTTCTTTTTCTCTATGAGTCTTATGTTGTATTTTACTGAAATGTATAT